CACATATATATATATATATATATATATATATATATATATATATATATATATGATATATACGTATTTTATATTTAGGCAGACATTTTTCATTCAGACAAGTTTGGTTATATATATTTCGACATATGTATTGATTAAGAAAATTATCAAAAATTTCTTTTAATTAACTTTTATTTTCCCATGTATATTCAGTCTCATCTGAGACCATCTTCAAGGGGGGGTTGTAAATTGTCTGTGGATGTGTATATATCAGCTAACAAAAACAATGTGCACTTTTAACTATAACAGTGAATGTCCTAACTAACTATTATATGAAACTTATTAACTATTATATGAAACTTATTAAACGGTGCAAAATCAAATTCTTCAAGAAATGCATTTTCTATATTGAATTAAAAAATCTAAAAAAATATTTGGAAGAAAATTTCGGTATTTTACTTAATCAATTTTCGACGGCTACAAAGAAACAAAAATAAATATACATAGTATGCCTAAATTATTTAAACAAGCAAATATATATATATATATATATATATATATATATATATATATAAGTATATAATTGGTATATACGGAATGAATTCCATTAACCAACAATGAAAAACCATTTATTTTATTTTCAACATCATCACTTAATAACCATTTATTTTATTTTCAACATCATCACTTGATAAGACACAGAGTGTGTTGAAACAAAATGGCTATTTTTGTAGTGATTTTATAACATGCTTATGTTATAATTTTTTTATAAAAAATAATTATATATATATATATATATATATATATATATATATATATATATATATGTATGTATGTGTGTGTGTGTGTGTGTGTATCATTTAATGGGATTTACTTGGGGTAATCATCTTTTTTTTTCTCTGTTATGTACCAGACATCTTTCCTCGGAGAAATACTGCGTTCATATTCTGGTGGAACACGTACATTCTATCTCATATATATTACATCCAGTTGGGGTGCCTCGAGGCGGTGTAATGGTTAGCAAGCTTGTCTCGCTAGAACAATTACGACTGAATAGTGAGTTCGATCCTCACTGGGTGCTCCATACTTTCGGCGTTGTGCCACATCTAAGCTACGCTTGGAAAGTCACTATATTACACCCGGTTATTACTTCACACATTTCTCGCCATCTCTTTCCTCGGCCTTCGCTATAATAATGACGAGAGAAACTAATTTTTAGTGCATCGGATGAGTCTGATTCCCACACCAGAATATGACTGGACAAATTCTAGAACGCAACAGATAGTCGAGTTAGGTCGGAGATGACACAGCCGAGACTTTATTGACCTCTGTAGAATAACATATAGAAATTTAAAAAATCCTCTCTTGGGTCAATTTACACATGAATCATTCTCTCTCTTTCATAGGTATATGTCATTTTTTTTTAGAAAAATCGTACAATTAATTTCCTATTCGCTGCTGATTGAAATAGATTGTTCGAGGCACTCCTTAACATTAGATCTCTGTCTATTCGTAGCTCGGTAACCAGGTTGCCTAAACGGGATACAATATAAATTGCAGGCTCTTTGAATGATAATCGAACGAAGAAGTCAGTACGACTCGGCTCGGCTCAGCCAATTGAAAGAGCATCAACGTAGAAGCGTCCTAATGCAATAATGAGCAATGGCTAAGACATTCAGGAAAGTCGGCTTGATAAATGGGTTTTCAGCTAATGTGAAGGAGAGGACTTGAGATGACTGCAAGGGTCGCAAGTGAAGTGGCCGCTTGATGCAAATGTGACACATGAAGTGGACAGGGGATTGATGTATTAAGATGCGGGTATGAATAATTACACAGGTTGACTCATTCTCGTCTTTTTCTCTTTCAAAATCTACGCTTTTCGGCGTGCGTATATACGCTGCTGATTAGAGTTATATGAGAGCATGAAACGCATTCATGGCATTTGCTCAACAGACGAGGTAATAAGTGTATGGTTTGAATTTAAAATCCACGTTTATACGAACGGACAAGGGTTAGGTTAAAGGTAGAAACAGAATTAAATTGAAGTGAATTTAAGAGGCTTAGACTGATATGAACATAACTTCCTACGCACGTAAATACACACACACACACACACACACACACACACACACACATATATATATATATATATATATATATATATATATATATATATATATATAAGTCAGTTATGTACCAAGCGTACACGCTTAGGCAATCATGTATATTCCGATACATGACAGACCAGGCAGATTTTTTCCCCGCAGTAGTTTGCCATTTTTTTCTTTTTAGTATACCAGTTGCGATCTAAGACTATAGAACTGGTCTGTCCTGCTATTTAGCCATATCTGGGATATATATATATATATATATATATATATATATATATATATATATATATATATATATATATATATATATATATATATGTGTGTGTTTCATTAAATAATATACACAAGTTTTGTCTATTTATTTTATGTAAATTCTTTTCATATCGTCTTGCTTAATAAGATTATCATTAAAA